GCATTCATTGATCACCTACTGCATACCCTGCTCTGATGGCAACCTGGGGAATTCAGTGGTATCATAGATTGGGTCCTCCCAAAAGAAGGTCTCAAGCCAAAGATTTGGATGCAAGGATTTATTAATGAGGAGCTCCCAGGAGAAGCCAGGGAGGAAATGGAGGAGGCAGGGTAGGGAAGGGAAAAAAAGACACAAGACAGTGACTCTGAGTGAAGTCCCAGCTTGGCCTCAGCCTGACCTCCCTGGCAGCTCTGGATGGTCCGTTACAGCTCAGGGTTTGTTGCACCTCCAAGGAACGGAGGTGGACTTGGGACAGGCATTGTCTGTGGGCCATGCCATATGAAGCAGGTGGCAGGGGGACTTCCAGACATGCTGGCTCACCTGTGAGAGAGCCACTCCAGAGCCCAAGGGACGCTCTGAAGGCCACAGCTGGGAGCCCCCAGAGCTGGGCAATGAACTTGGGTAGACACCAGCAGCTCCACTTTCCAGAATGCTGCGCCCCTTATGTTGAGTGTGATCCTGAGCAAGTCACTTCACTTCTTTAGCCTCCCCTCATCTTTAAGAATGGCACCTACCTTGTACATTCCTTCTGCAAACATTAAGCACAGACTGAGTGCCAGGACGGGGCATCTAGAGGTGAACAAAGCCGTCAAAACTTCCCTTTTCTCAATACAGCCATATGAAATACAGTATGGAGGTGCCTCAAAAAAATTAATACTAGAACTATATTGTGCGACTCAGCAGTCCCTCCGTGAGGTATATATCCACAGGCAATGAAATCAGCATGTCAAAGAGATATTTGCACCTCTATGTTCATGGCAGCATTATTCACAATAGCCAAGATATAGAATTAACCTAAGTGCCCATCACCAGGTGGATGGATAGAGAAAGTTGGTCTACATGCACGGTGGAATACTCTTTAGCCTTATAAAAAAAAAAAGGAAATCCTGCCCTTTGCAACATGGAGGAGCATGGAGGAACGTGGAGGACATTATGTTAAGTGAAATTAGCCAGGCACAGAAAGATAAATGCTGCATTATCTCACTCACACGTGGCACCTGAAAATGAACAACTCGCAGAAGCAGAGATTACAATGGCAGATCCCAGAGGCTAGGAGATTGAGGAATTGAGAAGATGTTGGTCAAAGACTTTAAAATTTCAGTTAAACAGGAGGAATCACTTCAAGAGATCTATTGTACAACCTGGTGACTATAGTTAATAACAGCATAATGTATCCTTGCAAATTGCTAAGAGAATAGACTTGCAATGTTCTCACCACCAAAAAAAAAAAAATAATAAGAAGAAGAATATGAGGTCATGCATATGTCAATTAGCTTGATTTAGCCATCCCGCTATACATATTTCAAAACATCACATTGCACACCATCAATATATACAATTTTTATTTGTCGATTTTTGTTTTAAAAAAACTCCCTTGTGTCATGCAGCTTTGAAGGAAGAAACACAATAAACAAAATAAAGAGCTAACATACAAAGTCCATTGGGCTGGGATGCACACTGTGGAGAAAAATAAAATAGGGACAGAGGTTGTCAGTGGTGCAATTTTATTTATTTATTTGTTTATTTATTTTGAGACAGAGTTTCCCTCTGTTGCCAGGGCTAGAGCGCCATGACATCAGCCTAGCTCACAGTAACCTCAAACTCCTGGGCTCAAGCCATCCTCCTGCGTCAGCCTCCCGAGTTGCTGGGACTACAGTGCACACAACACCTGGCTAATTTTTTTTTTCTATTTTCAGTAGAGATGGGGTTTTGCTCTTGCTCTTGCTCAGCTCCTGGCCTCCTGGCCTCAAGCAATGCTCCCACCCAAGCCTCCTAGAGTGCTGGGATTACAGGTGTGAGCCACTGCATCCAGCCAAGTGGTGCAATTTTAAATAGGGACATCTGGGAAGTCTTCTCTAATGTGGCGACATTTGAACAGAGGTCTAAGAGTGAGGAGAGAGGGAATCCTGAGGGTAGCTGAGGGAAAAGCATTCCAGGAAGAGGGAACAGCTGGTGCAAAGGCCCTGAGGCAGGGAGGTGCCTGGTGTGTTGGCAGAACCAGACAAGGTTGGTGTGGCTGAAAGAGGATGGGTTAGCGAGAGAAGGTAAGCGGAGACAGGTAAGAGGCAATTCTCAGACACCACACAGCCTCATGGGCCATTGCAAAGACTCACATCCAACCTCCCAAATCTGTCATGAGGATTATATGAGTTCGTAGAGACAGTGCACTTAACACAGAACCTGGCATGCATTAGAGCGAATGCTCGGGAAATACTGGCCAGGGATTATTTCTCGAGACCATTCATAGGAAGGAAAAAAAAAAAAAAGGAGCCTTCTGTACATTGCAATGAAAAAATGAACCATCACAAACAGCCCCAGTAATGAAGTCATCATCTTCCACTGTCACCACCAGATTATTGACAGCCAACGAGGCTTCTAAAACCCAGCCCTGGCTTCACAGCTCTTGGGTCTGAGATCTCAGTGCATGTTCCAGACCCAAGAGGACCTGAAGGTCAGTATTGAAGTCACATCCTCTATCTGCCCGCGAGGCAAGGCCAAAACAAACAGCCGCTGATAAGCTGGCTCCATTCTGAGTAGAGAAGGGTTGGATCATCATCCGGCTGCCCTGCCCTAAATGCAAAGGTACTTCCCTTTTCTTGGCCCAGAGATGTAAGTGCTAACAGAAGAAAAGAAAGAGAAAGAAAGAAAGAAAGAAAAAAGAAGAGAAAGAGGAGAAGAAGAAGCAAAGCAGAAGAGAATGGAAGAAGAAAGAAAGGAGAAAGAAAGAAAAAGAAAGAAAGAAAGAAGCAAGAAAGAAGAAAGAAAGAAAGAAGAAGGAAAAGGGAGGGAGGGAGGAAGAGAGAGAAGGAAGGAAAGAAAGAAGAAAGAAAGAAAGAAAAAGAAAGAAGAAAGACGAAGAGGGAGGGAATGGAGGGCAGAAGGAGAAGAAAAGAAAGAAACGAAAGAAAGAAAAAGAAGAGAAAGAAGAAAAGGGGAAGGGAGAAGGAGAAGGAAGGAAGAGAAACGAACGAGAGAAGAAAGAGAAGAAAAAGAAGAAAGAAAGAAAGAGAGAAAAGAACAAAGAAAGGAGAGAGAGGAGAGAGGGAGGAATGGAGAGGAAGGAAGGAAGGAAAAAGAAAGAGAAAGAAAGAAGAAAAAAAGAGAAAAAGAGAAGGGAGGCGGAGGAGGAAGGAAGGAAGAAGGGAACGGAAAGAAGAGAGAAAGAAGAAGAAAGAAGAAGAGAAGAAAGAAGAGAAAGAAGAGAGAGAGGAAGGAAGAGGAGGGGAAGAGGGAAAGAAGAGGAAAAGTACGAAAGAGAACAGAAAGAAAGAAGAAGAAAGAAAGAAAGAAGAAAGGGAAGAAAAAGAAAAGAGGGAGGGAGGGGAAGAAGAAGGAAGAGGCAAGGCAAGGAAGAGAGGAGAGGAAGAAGAAAGAAGGCAGGGAGGGAGGAGGGAGGCGAGGGAGGACGGGAGGGAGGACAGGGAGGGAGTGAGGAAGGGAAGGAAGAATGGACCCTAGGGTTTCATTCATTTAGAATAAGATTGCTCAATTGGCAATTGCTGATTGCTCTGGGGCTGCATAATTCCTTGCATAGAAGCCACTCGTGCCATTGGAAGACATAGAACAGTATCTCCACCTCCCCACCGGTACAGTAGCATTTCACCCACCTACGTGCCAAAGTCATGGGAGGCAAAATGCCCCAACGTTGAGAAGCCCACTAGGTTACGATAATGGCTACCTCGTTGCAATCCAGATACAACCCGCCAACATTTTTTTTATCTGCTGCCTCACGTAGGGACCAGCCCTGTTCCCAGCCCTGTTTCCACACCATCTGGTCACACAAAGTGCTCCTGGTTGATGGATTAAGGATGCACTTACTGTTAAATCAATAAAAACTTTGTTCTTTATCTGCAGTTCACATCAACTTGAAAGAGAACAGGCAAGAAATACACGTCAAAAGTGTCCACACTCCCAAGTTCTTGCACAAATGTCGTTCCATGAAAACCAGTCCTCGCCTGTGCTGCAAAGGTTCTGAGGACCACTGACTTAGAACAAGCATCACAGCACCGTCCACCGGTTTTTGTAAATAATTTATACACAGAGACATGGCTTGTTCATTTCCCCAAATTGCCTCCTGCTTGTTTTTCCAGATTATGGCAGCGGAATGGAGAAGCTACAAGAGGGACCACATAACCGTAAACCTATAATTATACTCTCTGGGCCCTTCTAAATAAAGTTTTCCTCGTCCTGATGTAGAATATCATACTATCCTTAAATACAGCATCCTAAGTCTTCTTTTCCATGTAACAACATGGAAAAAGAAACAAGATCTATGCATGTGTTTAAAAGTTGCAAAGGGCTGGGCACGGTGGCTCACGCCTGCAATCCCAGCACTCTGGGAGGCTGAGGTGGGAGGATCGCTTGAGCTCAGGAGTTCAAGACCAGCCTGAGCAAGAGCAAGACCCCATCTCTACTAAAAATGGAAAAATTAGCCAGGTGTGGTGGCATGTACCTGTAGTCCCAGCTACTAGGGAGGCTGAGGCAGGAGGATCACTTGAGTCCTGGAGTTGGAGGTTGCAGTGAGCTATGATGATGCCACTGCACTCTCCCCAGGGCAACAGAGTGATACTCTGTCTCAAGTAAAAATAAAAAATAAAATAAAATAAAATAACTTGGATTTGACTATTGCATGATTTTTCCTCCATTTTCCCCACAAATAAAAGGAGCACAACAAAATTGGGGTGAAGACCAGTAAAATGAAAGAGTATAGTTTTGGAGGAAACCACATCAGCATGTGATATGAAAAGTGCCTTAAGAGTCAGGTTAGAAATCTCAGGAGTGGCTCTAAGAAAACTGTCTAAAGATGGAAATTTAAGGACCATGTATAGGAGGGCAAATTTACAGGTTACTGGGAGAAGGGTTGTAGGAAGGAAACATAGAAAATATCCCAAAGCCAAGTTGTGGTTGCTTTGGGAGTAGAAAAATGAAGTCTGTCGTGGTCAAGAGGCTGCTCTACTGAGCAGTCTTCCCAGGGCCCCTTTAACGTCCTTGTTCCTCAGGCTGTAGACGAAGGGGTTCAGCAAGGGGGTGACCACCGTGTATATCACCGAGGCGATGGTGCTGCTCTGGGAAGAAGGGGTCACAGCAGAACTGAAGTAGACCCCAACTCCTGTTCCGTAGAACAGGCAGACCACACAGAGGTGAGACCCACAGGTGGAGAAGGCTTTGTACCTGCCTGCAGTGGAGGACATCCTCATTAAGGAGGAGACGATCTTAGAGTAGGAGTAGAGGATCCCTGTGACGGGAAGCACACCCAGCAGCACAGTGGACACGTACAAGTAGATGTCATTGATGGAGGTGTCAGAGGAGGCCACCTTGAGGAGCTGAGGCAGGTCACAGAAGAAATGGGGGATTTCAGTGCCTACAGAGAAGGTCAGTCGCATTGCCAGGAGAAGGTGAACTAGGGTAGTCAGGGAGATGCCGCACCAAGACATCAGGACCAGCAGGGCACAGTGGCGGGGCTTCATGATGACCGTGTAGCGCAGGGGGTGGCAGATGGCCACGAACCGGTCGTAGGCCATCACGGTCAGGAGCATGTCGTCCACACACACAAAAAGCAGAGCGAGAGTCATCTGCACCAGGCAGCCCCCATAGGAGATGGCTCTGCTGTGAGTTAGGATGTCCACAACCATCTTGGGGACGGTGGTGGAGGTGAAGCAGATGTCAACCAAGGACAGGTTGGAGAGGAAGAAGTACATGGGGGTGTGCAGGTGGGCGTCGGAGATGACCACCAGGACGATGAGCAGGTTCCCGAGCACCGTGACCAGGTACATGGACAGGAACAGCCCGAAGAGAAGGGGCTGCAGTTCTGGATCTTTTGAGAGACCCAAGAGGAAGAATTGTGAGAACTCCGTGTGGTTTTTTGCCTCCATGTGGCTGGTGCGTTTGCTGGGGAAGGAAGCAAAAGCAATGTTCAGAGATCAGCCAACTGGAGCCTCAGTTGCTTGTTATGTTGCAGAATCACCCTTGGATGGAAGGTCTTTACTTTTACTAGGGTGAATAGTGAATTAGGCAAAATGGAAATGTGTAGCATTATTCATGCTTCTTTTAATGTAAGATAAATCTATTTTGTCATCCATTGACTAGTTATAATTCTCCTATCTTGATCCATGGGCATATTAACTAATTCCTTTTTCACACTATTGAAGATATGCCATGTCTTTTCTTGGTAATCACCGCACCTCATCCTCATAGCTCTACCATAGTGTTGACCCATGGGTTTTCAACCCTAACAGTATTTATTCTCTGCTGTGACACTGGCCATGCTGTGACACTTAACTTTCAGTGCCTTCATTTGTTTTCAGAAAGTGTGGTTGTCAATATTACCTCACTTGCAAAGTAAAAAAAAAAAAATAGTGCCTTTGTGTACAGTAAGAGCCCCAATAAATAAGGGCTGTTGTTATGGTGATGATTGTGAATGTCCACCTTTCAGGATAATGATATTGGATCGATAGCTCTCCCAAGGGACGGCATAGATGTGTGATTTAGCAAATGTTTTCTTAGCAGACACTCTGGGCTAGAACTTTGACCCACCAATTTACTACTGCGTGGCCTTGAGAAAGTTATTTAAACACTTGGCTGCAGATCCCTCATCTCTGCTGTAGGAATGGTTAATATTCTCCGCCTGGACCAAAGAGTGTAATTAAGTGAGATGACGGATTCATTTTCCAACTGTGGTCGCTGTGACGTGCAATGGATATTTCATAAATGTGATCCTCTGTTATTAGCATCACGATAAATCAGTCTTGCGCGCCTGCCATTTATCAATATCTCAGTTAAATGGGGCAACCCTCAGGGATGGAATTCTGACCATTAGAAATACATCAGCAGGTCTGTTACCTCTTTTGACCGCCATACAGGACTTCTGATTAGCGAAGATTCTTATGTCGCCTTCTTTGAGGGCATGCCTGCCAGGTGAATTCCTCTAAGATGAAGACTTATAAGCAGATTACACACATAAGTGGAAGAAACAAAGCACATAACTGTTAAAATGAAATGCAAGGCACGTGTAAAAGTGTGTGCTCACATGTAGTGCGTTAAAATCAGCAGAATTAATCACCCACGTCTACAATGGATGGATTTGATCCCACATGCTCAAAACATACACAAATCAAATCATCGTAGAGAAGTCCAAAGCCAAATTTGAGTTTTGAAAATAGCTATGTATATTTTCCAGGATGGATAAAAGAATTATTATGTCCATATTATTATGGACAAGGGAAGTTTAATAAACTAAAGACAGAAAAATACACGCTAGAGGAACAATGTAGTCTGGGAAGTTGCATAGGTGGGATTTCTTTTGTAAACTAGGAGTATCTGAGCTGAGAGAGGAAGGATGGGCCATCAGTGTTAATCGGGGGAAGTAAGAAAGAATAAAGTGTCTAGGGCTTGAGGAGAAAATTCTGGGCTGCAGATGGCTCTGCGAGCTTCGTAGTGGGTTTTTGAGGGACCAGTGACAGGGAGAGGAGAGAATGAGCAACAGGAGGGACAGTCTGTGAGCCCCACAACAGAACAACCTGCACTCAAGCTTTATGTGCGTCTCCGGTTGGTAATTTTATGTTTACCTGCGAGTCTGAGATGTGACTCTTTTGCCTCGTTATTTTTCTTCCCAGGCAGGTACGTGTGCCTGTCACATAGTAGGCACTCAACAAAGACAAATATTGGATGCTTCATAGCTATTGAGATGAAAAGTGACAAGAACAACACACACACACACACACAAAAGACGTCTTCGAGTTCACCCTATGCCTGCATACAGACTCAACATTGAAGAGTCAGTTTAAATAAAATAGATTCATGTCTATTTTAAAGGAATATTAACGTGATGAATAAGTCATGCCTAGTGCAGGAATGGGAAAGTGGTTTCAAGTTAGGATGAAGTTCAACATAGATCATTACAAATGTATATTGAGGAAGAGAAATCTTAATTATAATTGCAGTGCAAGAAAATGTATTTAGGAAAATTAATAAATGTTACAGTGGTCAGCAGCCCTCTCTAGACACACACACACACAAAAAAACAAGGATAAGATGCTAACCTTGGAACGAGTGGTTGCTTGACAACCACAACAGGATTCTCTACATTAACATATTAACTGCCATGTGAGTTGTATTTAACTCATGAAGCAAAACCCCGGGCAGAAACCTGCAGTGAGTTCGTGAAAATCTTACTCGTTGATGTTCTTATTGTTATAATTAATGGTGACAATTTACTTCTAAAAATGAGATTACATGAATAGAAGTCAGTAACTTTCATTTTTCTATTTATGTTCACCTTTCAATTATACTTAAGTCCTACAAGTCAAGAAAAACCCTTATGAATTATTTTTCAAGTTGTCACATTACATTTTACATGACTGCTTTTCAAGTTTTTATGTTTGTTTTTTATGGAAAAATGCAGGAAATGATAAAAAAAATCATGAGTTTTTCATTCAACTAGAAAAGATCATTTTGCTTCTGAAGTTTTTATTCTATTTTCATAATAAAACACTGTCGCCCCAAAGAAAGTATGTTTTTTTTCCTAGTGTGGCAGTCAATGTGTTAAACTGTTACACCTTTTGTGTTAAATGCATAAGAAGGCCATGGCTTATTTGAAGAGATTGGTAAAACAGAAAAAGGAAATGATCTTAATCACCAGATGTTAGAAATAATTATATTATGGACACTGACATGAAAAAAATAATGACAACAGTAGCAATAACAATATAGAATTATTCGGTGATTTCAGTAAGTCAGGTACCCTGGCAAAAGCAAGTGGGTAATTATCAATTAAAAATAGACAACACCTTGTGCACCATAGATCTTCAGTGAGTAGTTAATGAAGAAGTGACTGGATACGGGACCTCTAACAGGAACCTACAGTATTTGGGAGACAGCAGACAAGATACAGGGACTGTCCAGAGAATGATGTATTTGAGAAATGGCCATTTCTACCTCTTACTGGAAGGAGATTCTAGATTCCAGGAAGGAAGAAAAGGAACAAGAATGAGTGATGGCAAGGATGAGTCTCAGTGGAAACTAAATTACCTTCAAAGTCCAAGGACTTCACCTGCATAGGTTAAATAAATAGAGGACTATCCCAGACTCATTATTCTATAGATAAAGCCCAGCGCATGCTTTCTTCTTTTCCTTCTTACCCTCCCGGACCTCACTGATCACGATAACTCTCTCCAATGCTTATCACTGAAGCCTTCTCCTCTCCACAGTCTGTCCCTGGGAAGCCTAATTTTATTTTCACGTACTCTGTCATCAGAAAATTACGGGTGAGGGGCAGCAGGGGCATGCTTAAAGTTTCTAGTGTCTCAAGAGTTGAATTCCCAGAGCACCCCATTAACTGAATTGTAATATTGTTTCCCCACTCTTCAAACACTTGGGCTCTCTCTTGGGATAAAGGAAGACAGGAGAATTCAAAGTTTCTCATCAAAGTTTCTGTCTACAGAGTGGTAGCGGAGGGTGGATTTATTTATTTCCTCAAGGGAAAAACTCTTCTTCCTTTGGTTTAATTTAAAATGGCAAAGGTTCCCTTACAGGAAAGTTTAATTTGTACAAGCAGTCAAACTCAGGCACCATCTCTTTGTGATGTGCCACCGTTGAAGAAAGTTTGGAGATTTCCTTCCATCTTTTGGTGTCCACCATGTTATGGAGGCAAAGAGGTTTTTGTCTTCCTAAATTTCAGCCCTTAATTTTTTAAATCAATTTATGGATGTATGACTGACATGTAGAAAGCTGTACATATTTACTGTATCCAACTTGATGAGTTTGGGGGTAAGAATACATCCGTGAAACCATCACCACCATCAAGGCCAAAGAGATATCAATCACCTCCCAAAGTTCCCTCCAGAATTCCTTATTATTTTAATGCATGATAATAACATTTACCATAAAATGCCCATTTTAGCCAATTTTTAGTATTCCATACATGATTATTAGCTAGAGAGGCACTAAGCTGTGTAGTAGAGCTCCAGGGCTTATTTATTTCGCATCACTAAAATTCTGCATGGTTTGACATTATCTTCCCATTTTCCCCTCCACCCCAGCCCCTGTCAATCATCATTTCATTCCAAAGATGTTCTTTCGGAAGAAAAGCAAATAATGCTTTTGTTCTGCTGAAAAGAGGACCCAAATTGGGAGGGGGACATAACCTCTGACATTTGCCGGTGACTTGGGAGGTGTTGTTGATAATAGAGCTTCATTTATTACCACTAAATAGAGGAGCAGGGCAGCAGTAGCCCAGGTGGAGTCAGTAAAGAGTGCATGTAGACGAAATACAGGTGGCAAGTAGGAATCAACTGTAAAGATTTTCATGGAATGAGAAAAGAGAGATTGATGCATCCTTTAAAGGGAGTATGGAGATTCGGATAGTGTTCCAAAAAATGTGTTTAGGGGAAACTATGGGAACACATTTAATTTCAAAGAGAATAAATATAATTAATGCAGGCATTGGAATACACAGGGAATACCAGCTACATAACTGGAAGGATGTCGGATACACAGTAAGTCAGCAAGAGGTTGCAGTGTCCTGTATCCCCAGTGTTCAAAATACGTGGGTCCAGAGAACAAGCATTGGAAGCTAGGTGTCCCCACCTACCATCACTCCCAGGGAGCCACTTGGGGAGTGTGTGTTTCTGGTCCCTGCAAGTACAAATTGTGTAGCTGTAGAAGTCTTGACTCCTTAGAAAAGGGCTAACTTTTCTAGAGACAGGGCAAAAGTCTTAATGACCTTCCAGCTGTGATGCTGCCTGGAATTTCAGGACTTTCATGCCAAGAAGAGTCACCACCCTGGCAGGTGGAATGGGCCCAGGTCATCGTTGTCATTGTGTGGGCCCAGGAAGCAGCATGCACAGGTGTCTTGCTGTGCCCAGTCAGTGGCTGG